GATGTCAATATATCGGATATCAATATATTTGATGCCAATATTTTTAGGTCAATATATTTGATGTTAATATATTTGATGTTAATATATTTGATGTAAATAAATTTGACTTCAATATATTTGATTTAATTATATTTTATAAATGGAACTTTCCATGGACGAATACAGAAAATTTATTTGGCACAGACTGCATGGAGAATTTTAAGTTGTGGGGCATGCCAATTTATTCTTTTTGCCAAAAACTCGAGAATCTGACCACCGAGGCAAAAAATCTAATAAAAGTTTTAAAAGAATCTTTTCTGGAAGTATTTTCTGGTGGTCTTGGTCAATGTAATAAGATGACGGCAAAATTTGAGTTAAAGGTAACATCCAGCCAGTGTTTAAAAAAAAAAAAAAAAAGATATGTACCTTTTGCCTCTTTACCGCAAATAAATGAAGAACTTGACAGACTCGAAAGAACAGGCGTCTTGTCGAAAAATGAGTACAGTCAATGAGCTTCACCGACTGTCTATATGAAGAAGAAGTCAATGGAGATCCGGATCTACGCCGATTTCTCGACGGGGCTTAATGCTTTACTCAAAGACTATCACTATCCTTTACCAATCCCGGAAGAAATTTTCGCGAAACTGAATGTGGGAATTTTTATTTTTTTTTTCAAAAATCGACCTCAGTGACGCATATCTCCAAATATCGGTAGAAGAAGAATATTCTAAGTTTCTCTATATCAACACCCATAGTGGTTTGTACAAGTTCTAACGTCTACCTTTCGGGATCAAGGTCGCGCTGGCAATCTTTCAACGTAATGGACACTTTGTTGAGCGGTCTTGACTTCACGGTTTCATATTTGGACGGCATATAAAAAGCCAAACAACGCAAGGAACATGTCTTAAAGTCTTTTCAAGAATTCAGAAGTACGGGTTCAGATGGAAAGAATCAAAATGCGACTTATTTGTGGAGAAGATTAAACACTTGGGATACATTATCGACAAAGATGGCAGAAGACCAAGTCACAATCAAGAACATGCCATCTCCCGAAAACGTCTCTTCATTACGAAGTTTATTTTAGGATTGACAAACTACTACCAAGTGTTTATACCAAATATACGCAACTTACGTGCTCCTCTAAACGAACTTTCGACAAGGACTGGAATGGGGACACCTGAATGCTAGGATGTATTCGTCAAAATAAAAGAAGTCTTGAAGTCGGGCTTGTTTCTCACTCACTATAACCCAGACCTGTACATTATAGTTACCAGCGACACCAACTCGTATGGTATTAGAGCATGTATTTTGTACAAGATGCCAGATGGATCTTACAAACCATTTGCTCACACGTCGAGAACACTTCTTCCTGCAGAGAAGAACTCCTCCCAAATTAAGGACTCGTTAGGGATTATTTTCACAGTAACGAAGTTTCACAGATACATTCACGGTAGACACTTTACATTGCAGATGGACCATAAACCATTACTTATCATTTTCGGTTCTAAAAAAGGTCTGCCTGTACATACAGCAAATAGACTACGGAGATGGGGAACAATCCTCTTAAATTACAACTTCAAGCTGGAGTTCCTACCATCTAAAAAAACTCTATCATGCCGACGGAATATCCAGATTAATCCCGAAACACAGGGCACTCTTGAAGATACTGTAATTGCTTCTATTCGAACAGAGGGAGAAATTAAAACCACATTATACAACACATTAAGGGAACTCACTGTAACTCTTGACCAAATCAAACGAGAAGCTCTAAACGATGCGATTATCAGGCAAACAAAAACCAAAATTCGTGAGAAGGACCAACAGACTTCAGATATTTTCTCCCTATGCGACGAAGTACTGCTATATGGTGAGCGTTTCGTCATTCCCAAATCGCTACAAAGAAGAATTCTGAAAGATTTCCATGCCGGCCACTCAGGAATTACAAGGGTGAAAAGCCTAATACGCAGTTATGTATTGGCCGAACATCGACAAGGATATCAGAAACATCGTAAAATCCTGTAAAAGGCTGTGCCTTGGCAGCTAATGCACCCCCAATCAAATATAGTCCTTGGCCTAAAACGGACCGACATATGGATTTGGCGTGTCCGCCAGACAGATTCTACTATCTCATAGTCGTAGGTAGATTTTCGAAAGAGCGGTGGAGGCACGGTGGAGTAATGGATAGCGGCTTGGACTGAGGAATCGGAGAGCCGAGTTCGAATTCCAGTCGAATCCATTACATTCACTTATGTGCTAATACCCTTGGGAAAGATATGAATCCAGCTATGGGTAAATAGCAGGACAGACTGGGTACTATAGCCTTGGATGGCAACTGGTCTAGGAGAAGGAAAACTCTGAATTCAAACCTGTTCTTAGAGGAGGGTGAATGGAGTCTCTCTGAGCCTTGGTTGGCAGTCCATTTAGTGATGGTGTCACGATAAAAACACCCTTGATAGCCCTAGCAAAGCATCAAGAATTCAGCTATTGACAAGATTACGAACTACACCAATCAAAGTATTAG